TGTCTATATAAATATATAATTCCCTATTTTTTGCCATATAATCACAATTATTTCTTTAGTGAAGAATATAAATTTTCATTGGCAAATATCAGCCATAAAATCAATGACTATTGTTACAGAGCTTACATATATAGATTAGCTGGAATAATTACCAAATTATCAATCCCTTTCCACCAGCAATCTAGTTTTTAAAACTTTTAAGTCAATGTCTATTCTTTATTTATATACAATGAATGGACCAAATTCAGTCAAGCTACAGTAATTAACATAGCTACCATATGATATATGTATATATACACATGTATTTGAAAAACTCCTATCATCCTCCCCTCATAATGACAATGAGTCTAGTGGAACCATCACATAAACTTAAGACTCCTAAAGCACCACCTCACTATACAACATAGTTGTTGATGTTGCCCACTACATCTTGGAGTAGGAGATTCATGCACTATATTCTCAAGGCACACCATTCTTGGAAAGAGAGTATATGTGAGCAAGAGTGAGAGAGAGCCTAAGGGAACAATTGAGGGATTTTTTAAGATTTCTAGGGATTAAGAGCATGATGTAGCATTCCTCTTATACAAAAATCTTCCACAATGTTTTTCCTAGGTAGGTTTTCCCAGGTAGTTTGTGAATGCAAAAAAAAAAAATGGTCTGCTTGTTTATAATAATTGTCTAAATCTTTCTGATGGGGTTGATTTTTTGCTTAGAGGAAGTTGGGCCTCTAGCCCTTTCCCTAGTTCACCCTTAGACTCATTGTGGTGATTATAGTGGTGATTTTCTTCTTTTGGATGAAGTTTTTCCATCTCATCTTCTATGACAAATTTAACATGAGAATGATGGAGTTCTTATATAAATATTTAAAGCATTGATTCTCACAATAGAGCTCTGGTAAGTAATAGAGAACTCCTTAGTAATATCATGCTTGTTTTGGTTGCATTTCACAATCAATCCAATAGAAGAAATAAAATCCATTCTAGTATTGAAAAAAAACTTTTGTTTTTTTTGCTCACACACTTGTTTAATAAAGAAACCTCCAATCTCTAAGTAGAAGTAAGGAATCCCCAATGATGTACTAATGGCAAGAATTGATCATCCCTCCACTCAAATGCATACAAGGGATTGTCTTTAGCAACAACTAAATTGGAATTGATCAAAAAGCCTAATGTGTGAGGTGTGGAGCTGTGAATGCCACTTTAGGGCATGATAACATGTGATTGTTGCTTTCTCCTCTTAACCTTTAGCTTTTGTTTCATAAAGGTTCTCCATCTTCCTTTGACCACTTAGCTTCTTGTTCTGCACTCAAAGCTTCCTCTGTCTCCACCACCTTTTGGCATCGATGCCCAATTGAAAGGCCTAACTCACCATTAAGATTTCTTTATAATGGCTAAGCCTCTTGAATCTTGTGCACTCCTCTTTGTCTAGAAGTGCCTCTTCCTCATGAAGAAAATTCTCCACTCAATCCTCCTCTTCTTGGATTTTGTTTAAGCTTTTGAGTTGCTACTTTATTGCCTTTCTTCTTGTCCATCTTCCCTTTCTTAAATTTTAGTATTACATCCTCTCCTAGATGATATATTTCCTTGGCCTGTTTGTTCAACATGTTGCTAAGGTTTTCCCTTATGGTTCATCATCTTGTGGCTCTCTTGGTGTTGTTATTGGTTTTTAGTTGCTTGTGGCTTCATCTCTAGCATGGTCAAGATCACCTCCCCAACCTGATGCATTGGCTTCTCACTTTTCAGGCAAGGCTTTTGTAACCAAGCAGAAAGCTTTCCAAAAGGTTGATCTCAATACTCGATCTTCACTCAGGAGGGTTAGTCTCTTAGTACCATAGTTTTGGTAAGAGCATGTTGTTAAAAGAGAATGATTTAAAAGACAATCCAAAAAGGTTTAAATTTAAAAGAGTGCATTTTATTTTTCAATCAGTTAAAAAACTTAGGATACTTAGGGTTAAGTGTTTTTGGGCTTCAATAGTATTGGGTTGGATAACCTTCTAGAAAGTCCAAATTCAAAAGTTTACATTTGGTATTAAAAAGGGTTTTAATATTTGAGGTTAACCATCCTTGGGTTTGAATAGTATAAATTTTAGTTTACACATGTTATGTTAACCATCCTCTTTCACTATAGACTATAGATATCACTAAAGAACTAAGTGCCTGAGATAGTGGCTAAGTGAAACAAATAAAGCTTAGTTTCCCAAACAATATCCCTTCCTAGCTCCCTCACTCTACTTTTTTTGTATTTTCTAAGGTGTGTAGACTTTTACTTTGAATTAGTATGGCAATCTATAGCAATGATTCCATTATCCACTCATCCTTTTGTTCTTGCCTGGGCTTCTCTAAAGTCTATCTTTCCCTACTCAACATGGCTATATCATTTCCTTTATCCTGCTATCTCTATTGGGAAAACCCTTGCCCTAACCTTGGTGGGAATTCTTAACCCATTGTAGTTGCTTTGGTGGTGATACCACTTCTGTCTACAATATATAATGTTTTGCCCTTTACCCATTTTTTTTTCTTTGCTTTCCTTACCTAGTAAGAGAACCCATTGAGCTTTATAATTTAATTAATTGGTGTAAGAGTTGTGAATAGCTTTTCAAAGGAAGCCTCATTAGTTTTTATGCCTTCTTTTATTATTATTCTCATTTTAACTTTAGTTTTTGAAGTAAGTGCCTTCAGTCCTTTTGGTTTTCAAATTTGCTCACCAATGAATACTTACTAGGTGTGAGTTTTCTTTATCTAGTTTTATGTTGTACATGTTCACTTGTTGCTGCTTCTTCCCACATATTTAGCATTGCCATTTCTTTTGTGTCCCTCACATCTGCTCTAGAATGATTACCTTGTAGCCTTGAGAGCTTGTCAACTCCCTTTATCCCCTCATTTCTTGTCTCAAATGTTTACTAGAGCTTGCTCTCTATTCCTAAATTATTCTTGCCTAGTTGCTCATCATCGTTTTCTATGCAGCCAGAGTGTGGTTGCTTGTTCTCTCCACTTAGTTGCCTTTTCCCTTATGTTAGGGTTTTATTGTATGCTATTTTACTTTTGAGCAACCTTTCTTGTGACCCATTGCTCTATTTGACTCCATCTTGGATATAAACAAATTAGAGACAATAGAGAATATATTGTAAGGTTAGGAAAACAAACTAATATAAAATCATCAACTTTGTACTCTACAAGTGAATAATGATAAAAGTTGTAGCACTATTGTTTTCTCACATGTATGTAGCTTAACTGTTCAATAAACTTTACTCAAACTAGTGAAAGAATGCTTGTCAAATATTGATCCCAAGACCTAGCATTAACAGTTCATGGCAATTGCAAAATTAAACTTAGTTTTTTTGGTAATATCCATTATGACTATATAAGAGTTTATATAATGAAGCACTAAACTTTATACCCCTATAATATATATACTAAAATGATAAATAACCATCTTTATCCGAATGCTCAAAGTTCACATACTTCATATATAGAGGGATTAAGTTCAATATCATGGGGGTTCCCAACACTAGCAAGTGCAAGTCAATGAATGAGTTTGGGAATAGAACCTATGGAGGTTATAAATGAGACTCCTCAAAATGGTCAAAAGTGTGATTAAGTGAATAAGAATAGAAAATTTAATTGCTTATAAAAGGCCATTTAAATCCTTAAGTCATGAATAAAATTTATGGAGGTTGTGAGTGAGACTCTTTCAATTGGTTGAAAGTATGGTTAAGTGATTAAAGTAGAATGAAAAAATTAATTACTTACATGTTGTTAAAGGTGGCTGAAGAAAGAGTATGCACAAGTTTCACAAGGTCTTGACAAAGCACTAACCACAATATGCCCAACTTGATCTGTTCTGACGTATTTAATTCCACACAAAGTAAAATTATTGGAAGGCATCATCACAATCATTTATATATCCAAATACAAGCTTGAAGATATTTGGGAGAATGCTCTAATTAACATGAGTAGCTGCACAAACCATTATACTATTGTAATATTGTCTTTTAGAGACATGTAAGAAACTCATATAGACACTGAGCATCATCTCAAGAATGATAGGTGGCAATCACTATAAAGTGATTGAGTTAATAGTACATATCATCCATAGGATTCCCATAAAAAAATTCTAAATGGATGTGAGGATTGACAATAAGAGTAGGAGAAGTTGTATCATGTGTTGTGAATGCCACTATTAAGGACATTTAAAGCTATCTTTCAACTCTATCAAAGTGAGTGTATGAAATATAGAAATAGAATATAGAAATATACATATTCAATTATCCCAAAAATTTTAGTATATATATAAAAGTGAGTGATCCAATATCCCACTGCATTAATATTAGTATATAGCATTGTAGCTATACACTTGGACCTCATACACACACACACATATACATATATACATTATATCTAATTAATTAATTTAAATGAATTGTTATATTTTATTTTCTTTTAAAATGTAAATTTTTCCTTATCATGATGAAATAAATTTATATATATTATGCTTTTCATTTGAAATAAATTTAAAAATATTATATATATTTTTTGCAAAGTAAAATACACTTTACAATCAAATCCATTTGCAAATATTATATACACTAATATGAAAAAATCCTCCTTAATTTAATTTTAAAATCTTCAACCAGAAGAATGGATATATAAATTCCAAATAAAATCCAAATTGACAGACTTAAATGCCCAAATAAACTTATAGTTTTTCTCATTTGCAGCATTTGTCTGCAAAGGGGAACTACATTGTTTGGTGAATCAAAATCTAAACCATATAAACCCTTGCAAGCTCTACAAAGAGAGTGAAAGCTCCAGGAAATCATTCACGACCAAATGAAATTAATCTCATCCTCTTTCACAAAACTTTGCACTTTCACCTTATATGCAAGAACAATCTTTTCAAGTTGTTATTTTGCATTGAATCTTTCAATGCTGAAACTTTTGGCGAATCTGAGCCAGGCTAAGAATCTGATAACAGAATCTCAAGATTCCTCTATTGATGCCTTTCCTTTTTAACAAACTTAAATTTGGGTTAAGTGGGGGCAAGTGCTAAATCTACTGCATTTCAATTGCTTCTATACATTCTGAAACACTGGCATTTCTCTCCATTGCAGCCATGAGAGAATCAAATGCCTTGCTTTTGTTCTTTATAAGTGATCCGGCATAGAGAACCTGATGCAAAACAAAGTCCGAGAGAAAATGAACGTATGTAAAATATCATAACTTCTTACAGCCCATCGAGTGAGATTTTGCTGTTGTTCGTTACTGAGTTTGGGTTTGGATCTGTTAATGAGCCTCTGCATTCAGAGAGCATAAGGTTGCAAAAAACCTTTTAATGTAATCAACCTGAAGAGAGAATAAATCGGCAGACTGGCCAATAACTTTGTCATATTTTAGAGCCTCGGCAGCAAGCCCAGCCATTGAAACGACAGCCAGCCTGATACAATAGAAAGAAACTTCAAAAGAAAGAAAGGAGTTCGAGTTCAGATACCTGTCAAGTTCGTTGCCGTCGAGAAACCCTTCGTAAATTTTCTTCTGTAGCTTTTCATCGACCAAGTTGACATGCTCTTTGCCGATGTCTAAAGAGTATCCCAGAACAGGAAGGCCGACCAGATAAGCAACTGGAAGAAACATCAGCGTATACAGTTCTTGCAGAGTTCATGTTTCTACTTACTGAGGAAATGAGCCGCTTCATGACGAAGAAGCCGCTCTTGGTAATCTGGAAACACCGATGAGAAGCTGTTGATAGCAGCTTGTAAAAGCCTGGAGAAATCAGCTGTAAGAAACTCAGTGAGAAGCTTCTCCTGGGTTGAAAATTAAATACCCCGGTGCTGTGCTTCCGATGGCCAGAACTGCTAGTGAGATTCCTCCCAGCAGATAAGGAACGAAGAATCCCCAATCCTGTCAAACTTTGTTACAATGAAAGAGAATTAACTAGCTAGATAGATCACGTACTCCGGGGAGCTGGCCCGCTATAACTGCAAGAAAGCTCGTTGTTCCTACAACCGTCACCAAGAACGCGAGCTGCAAGAGCATCAACATCAGCTGACAGGAAAAAAACCCAAAGCAACAGTGAGAGTAACTCACATCGTTTCGGACACTCGGAATAGCGAGATTCTCCGCGTTTTTCAGTCCCAGCGAAGTTAGCTCGCGCAAGTACGTCTGAAAAAACCGAAGAGTCGATAAAGAAGCAAAAATTGTCTTTTACATTTCGACGAGAAACATTGGGCTGAGATTTCCACTGCTTTGCCCATCCCGCCTCGCTCAGCTTGTCCAGCGCCAATCTCACGCTGTCGGCATCCTTCTGCATTGTAAATCTCTAGGCTTAACCAACACATCCAAGCGCTTTGCTTACCGACGAGATCGCATCACCGAGCGATGCAACAAGATCATTCACATCATTCACATTCGCCGATGCCACAGCACCCTCGCCATCCCCCGCCGCCGCGGCAGCACGGACGCATGAGCGCGCCCTTCCACTGGGAAGAACCCTAGCACAATGCCTGTGAAAACCTCCTCCATACGAGGCGGGAATGCAAGGCAATGTGATAGCCATAGAGAACGAACGAGAGCCCGCCACGTGTCTAGGGCAGGAAATCCAGGTCAATCAATCAAGCATCACCTTTGGATCCAATCCTTCCAGACAATGTCACAATCCATCATGCATGACCTCTGCCCATGATTGGCAATGTCACAATCAAATACATCAAGTTCTCTCCGGGAGCCGGCCAGCCTAAAATCCTCACCAAGAAAACAAAGAAAAGATCGACCAAGGACGCACGCAGTTAGGCGGCACGAACAAATAAAGCAAATAGGCGGGAGCGATTATTTTAAAAAAATGTTCGTTATCTCGAGTCGATCATTTGTCACTCTGATCGATCGTGCTCCTTGTCTCTCCTAGCTCTACATCCAAAGAATTTTCCTGTGGATTCAACGGTTTCTTCTCTTCTTGATCCGTGTCAGTCTCCTCCTCCTCTGGATCCTGATCGTCCAGCGGTGGGGGGCGCTTCTCCAGCGACTGCTGGTACGCGATCCCCCCGCCAATGCAGGTGAGCAGCGCGATCGTCCCCGCCAGCGACGCGTGCCTGTCCCACACCACCAGATTTATCACCACGGTGAGCAGCTTGTTCACCACCCCGAGCACCGTGAAGCTCGTGGCGGAGATGTTCTTCCGGCAGGCAAACCCAAAGAACGAAATCGACAGCCCAAACGCGCACGACAGCACCACGGGCAGCCAGGTGCCCAAGGAGCGCCACTCCACCGCCGCCACGCCCGCCACCGCCGCCCCACCACGAAACGACGCCACTGCCGCGCTCCCCTCGCCAGTGACTAGCAGCTCCACCGGGTATAGCAGCAGGGCCTCAAAATTATTGTAGAGCACGAGGCCCCACGTACCCAGCCCCACGGTCATGACCACATGCTTGATATACACAAAGTCGACGGCCATGCTGGCCAAATAGGCCATGGCCCATCCGTACGCGTGGAGCTCGAAGTGGGAGTCCGTGGCCACGTACGCGGCGGCGCCGCCCAGGATGAGCGCCAGCGCCGCCCAGGTTCTTGGGAGCGGCCAGGGCTGGCGGAGGAAGAGTGTGTCGCCCACGGCCACCAGCAGCGGCACGGCGGAGCGAAACACAATGAATGTGTCGACGTTGGCGTGGAGGAGGAGCTCGCTGTTGGTGAAGAGGGACATGTAGTAGCAGAGCGCGGCGGGGATGAAGCGGAGGAGCGTGGCGGCGCGGAGGGGGTCGTGGTCGAGCAGCCCCGCGCCGCCGGGGCCGAGGAGGAAGACGGCGAGCGCGCTGGTGGCGTACTGGAGCGCGGTGAGCGAGCCCGGGAAGGGGAAGCGCATCACCGCCCACTTGTTGATGATGGAGAGGAGCGACGCCGAGAGGCAGTAGCCGGCGGCGGTGCCGTAGACAGCGGCGGCGTTGAGGAGGAAGGCGGGGGGCGATCCCAATTTCATGGTTGCTGCGCGATCGATCTGGAGGGGGAGATCAAGAAGAGGGAGCGAGCGAGCGAATTGGATCGGGGAATTCGTTAGATTGAGAGGATTGTGTGTGTGAGTGTGTGTGTGTGTACCAGAAGCCAGCGGGATTTACGTTGCTGCCGCCGCTTTCGCAGGCGCGCCTCCTCCATTCTGCGCCATTGCGCCTCCGCTTCCCTAGAAAACTAGAAACAGAGCATAGTAATCTCCGGTACGGAATTAGACAACGTCGTACGGCGGGATCAGATCTTAGATCCGGTTGGCGATGGCGAAGGCGACCTTGCAGTGCTTCTTGGCCTCCTCCAGCCGCTGGAACAGCGCCTCGCCCTTGTTCGCGGCCTTGACCAGCTTTAGCTCCGCCTCGAGCAGCTCCATTGCGCGTAGCAGCTCCAGGACGTCGAGATCCCCCACGCCCTCCTCGCCCATGAGCTTCTTGGCGTCCTTCCTCACCTTGGCGATCACCACCGCGCCCGATGCCGCGATGATCTGTCCGCTGCCGAATCCCCTGTCCAGCAGCCCGCCGTACATGATCATCAGGTCCCCGATCGCCGCGCCCTTGCCCCGCGTCAGCACCCATCGCTTCGTCCTGTATGGGGCGCTGAATGCCTCCACCTGGCCGCGGTTCCTGGCCATGATCTTGGCCTCCTCCACCGATGGCCCTCTCTCTAGCTTGGCATTGCTCACTTCCTCCGCTGGATTGCTCGCATTCTCGACATCCGGCTCTGCAATCCCTCCATCGGTCTTTGGATCACCAATGTCCTGATCGCGAGCCACTGGGAGCCTGCTTGGTGATTCCGATTGGCCAGAGCAAACCACAATTCGCAGATTTCCCTGCAATGCGTGCCGTGATTGACATTGCTTCCGGCCCGGGCTCCAATGCGCGGGCCGAAACAATGTGGGGGAATTCGCGGCCAGTCCCGCCATAGCCAGGGATGGGAGATAAGCTGGGGGAGCGAAAATGGACGGTGGAGATTTGATAAGAAAGAAATGCATTGTCTGTCATGGGAAGATTTAAAACAACAAAAAAGGGTAGCGGAGGCCACACTGCTTGTTCATACTTAGTGCCTTGCACATGATCGAGAAAAGCTTGTTTCTTCTTTAAACTAGGAATCTGACCTTTCATGGTATGAATTTAGTGTTTGCGCTCAGCTTGAGTGTGGAGTCCATTCTCCTGGTTTGAAGTAGGATTAGCCATGGATGTGAAAGTATTAAATGAAGTTCTTAAGGTGGTAATTTTGGATTTCACTTTATTAACTTCACTTGAGGTATTCGTCAGGCACTATGTTTTTATTTTTCGTTTTTCCATTTTTTTTTACAGGCTTGCAATATGTTCTCTAGATCGTGTAATGATTCCATAGTCAATTTTATTAGTGTTTTATGGGCATTTTGTTCACCATCTAAATGGTTGAGGTCTAATTTGCCTTTGGGTTCAAAGCTTGGAAATGATAATGGTGAGCTTGTTTTGGGTACAGAATTGTGGAAGACATCAACACTTTTTAGTGGATGCAAAAGGGATGCTCTAGGGAAGTTGCTTAAACAACTACAGCATTTCCATTGGACAATTATGTTTCTAATGAGAATAGTTGTATATGGTATATTAATAAAATAAATCTCTCCTTATAAAAATCCTAAATTAGATAATTTATTTTGTATTTTGAAATGCTATTTAACTTTATAAAATGACATACAAAAACCTGATAAACTGGGAAAAACAAAAATAATGATAAAAAAAGAGGAAATTTTAAATAGGTATTTTGGGCCCAGACCAAAATAAAAGTAAAAAAAGAAAATACTAAGAATAACTGTGTGTACAATATGGCAACAAATATGATTGCACATGAGAGCATTATATATTTATATATGTGCAATTTTTTATTTTTTTGAGTTGCATGAAAAAATATTATGTATACAATCACTTTTTGATTGCTATTTAAGCAATTGAAACATGATTGTCATTTGAAAAAGTTCCTAATTTTTTAAATTCTCTTTGGAAGACCATGTATAGTGTTTTTTTTAGGATGATTGAGAAGGGAAGATTTTTGGATTTAATGGCAAATATATTATATTATATATTATTATTATATTATATTATATTATATTATTATTATTATATTATATTATATTATATATTTATTTTTTGGATTTATATATTTGTTGGCTAGTGGTCAACAAAGGCAATTCAATATTGCATGCATAAGAGATGCACATATTTCCTCTCAAATACTAAACCTAGAAGAGGTTTGTGGCATTTTTCTAGTCCATATAATAAAGCTAAAACTCTTTGTAAGATGGGTTAATGCATTTATCCTGTGTAGGAGGCAAAGTAGCATGCTCCTGGAGAATGTTTACACCTTGTTTGGATCTATAAATTGGAGTTATATCATGATCAGGCATTGTTTTAGCACTAGAGGCAAGTTGGTGGTGAAGTGCTCTATAGAAATTTTGCATATCATGAAACATAATAGATGGCTTTAGTTTTGCAGTGGAGTCACCTAGGACACAAATGGCCCAAAAGTAATGTTGGGCATTCGTGTTTGTAATTTCATTAGTTTCTTTGAGAGTATGCTTTTAATGTTGTTTTAGTCTTTATGGAACATAGGGTAATATATATATATATATATATATATATATATATATATATATATATATATATATATATATATATATGTTTCATTTAAATGTGATTGTGTGTATAATGTTTTTATCATGGGGTATGCCATGTATGCATGGGGCATGACTACCACATAAAATTGATGCCATGTCATCCTAGACAATATGATATCATTGCAAATCTAGTGAGGGGTTTTTAGTCTCAGTTTTGTGAGTGTAAATTATAATGTGATGATTGTGATCATTTGTCTCCTCTCATTTCTCACAATTGTGGCTCATTTCTACCAGTTGGAGGTGTGTGTCAATCATATCATGCCCTAATATAAGCATTGTGCTTCAATTAATCGATGCATCTTTTATTTCTTGTGACCTATTTGCAGTGTGGTGCCCCAATTTAATGTAGTGGCTAGTGTGATCAATTAGAGTGTGGTGCCAAGTGTGATCAATTGGAGCATAGTGGTGAGTGTGATTAATTGGAGTGTGGTGGTGAGCATGATTAAGTGGCAAGCTTGATCTATTAGAGTATAGAGGCAAAACATTTCTTTAGGTGTTTGGGGTGTTGAGTGTAGTGATTTTTGGCATTGTAGTGGTTAGCCGCATTGCAAATTGATAATATAAGTTTTTCTTTCTTGAGTTTGCTCCCTAGTTTAAATTTTGTGGTTGTTATAATGATTGCATTATAATGCAACACTTATACATACACTTATACACTTATACACTTATATTTATACTTATACACTTAATGCAACTCCTCTCTAATGCACGTACTAATGTGTTTCTTTTCATAGCTAAGAAGTAGAGAGTTTTGCATCAATAGTAACAATAGGCACCTAGGTATATGGCTATAGTGTGGCAATTTGGTAACTTGCTAGGCCTAAATACTTGTATTATCTAATTGATGTAGACACACTTTTGAGCAAGCCCTCTGCTGGTATGTTTTGAATTTTGAAATGCATATGAATTCATTCATCTCATTTATTATGTAGAGCATCAGGAATTAGGGCATTGTTATGCTAATTGAGGATAGTAGGTTTGCATGTGAGGATATTTTTTATATACTTTTGCACATCTATGTTTTTGTGTGTTTTTGAAGAGAAAAATTCATGCTCTATTGGACTAGGCTTCTTAGGCATATCTTGGTGGCAATATTTGTTGAGATACAAACTCAAGATTGAAGACCATGTTATCCTCTTTTCTGCCAATATAGCAAATGTGTGCAACCCTCCTTCATTGCAAGTTACAAAGCCAACAACACAAATGGAGGATGATGTTGTGGAGGGAGTGGCAAAAGAACATCCCACTGCCATGGAGATCCCAGAAGAAGTGGTGTTAAATCCCAAGAATGCAAAAGAAGTAGTTTTACAAGTGTAAGATGCCGAACCAGAAAAAGTTTATGTCATTACAAATGGTGTGATCATAATCTATGACATGTAAGCATTACATTGAATCCTTTGCTTCTTTTTGGATTTTTATTTCTTTCCAGGGTTGCTACTATAGACCCTACAATGCAATTTCACATTGTGTAGTGTGAGGTGGTGGACAAATGCAAGTTGGTGATTGAATGCAAGGTTGTCAATGAACACGAAGTGGTAAAGAAGGACCTTCCTCATAATGTTATAGATGAAGACCCTTCATGCGGGCACAAGGTGATGGTGGAGGAGACCCCATGTGGCATGGTAGTGGAGGAGGTTGAGCCTCCTCATGAAGTGGACACCCCAAGCTCATAGGTGTATAGTTCATATGACGAGGCTATATTTCACATGAAGTAAAGAAAGAGGCTTTAGTTAAGGTTCCCTTAAGGCAGCGAGTTAATGATGAGGAGGATGCTCTAGCTAGCGAGGTGAACACTCCTCACTGCATAGTGGTTCTTAGTGAAGAGGTGGAGGTGCCATGCAATAGCCTCTGCCTCCTTGCGAGCATGAGGATCTATGAAAGCTTCTTTATAAGTAAGAATTGAAGGTTTATACAAAATAGAGCTAATCCAATTTATGGTTTGTTGTTTTTAGGATTTTCATTGATATAGACAAGATCACCATCTCGGAGTCTAAGCACAAGTCATCACCCTAATAGTTTATGTGAAGTTATATAATACATTATTAAAAGACTTGTATGCTATTTATATTTAAATTTTTTTTATCATAAGATTACATTACTATTTTAAACTACAAACTTGAAATTCTAAACAAGTTGGATCAAGTTACTAGTGCCTCACCTAAGGTGGGAATCTTCTGTGTGAAAAAAAAATTAACAATAATGATTACTGAATGTTACTTCTTATATATTAAGTCCTAAATTGGCTTAGCCTACATTTTCAAGCTCTTTTTTAAGATGAAGTTTTATAAAGTGAATAAACTCTATAGCCTTTTATACAATAGGGTGGAGTGCAATACTTTAGATATTCTCTCCACTCTATTGTAATAATTCTCTGTCTTTATGATTATAGAAATAGAAAAATTAATTATATTCTCCAAGTATTAATTTGAGAATAAAATGGTATTGTATAGCCATCAATTTATATTTTATAACTCGCTATAACTAAACTCGATTCTCTACTACGTTTGCCCTTTACCTTTATAGCCGCAGATAGGTGGAATACACACTAAATACAGACCCATTGCTGCCCCACGAAACTCCAAAACTTCACCGGCTATCTATCGAGCAAGAGCCGAAATCATCTGGACTACATGTAGTGATCTGTACAGAAGGTCATGGAGCCCTGGTTCTCTGGGTGCGGCAATACACTAAGAAGGCGGAGAGAACTCGCCTCTAAGTCTTGCTTAAGCGCGTGAAGCAGGCAAGGATTTATTCTTGCCGGCGAGCAAACAAACCGTGTTTGAAATAGGATTGAATTCAATGATTAAATAACTCAAAGACATTAAATTGAAAACTAAACCAATATATATACCACGTGATTTGGGATTCATTTGATATTCACAGATAACAAAGGAGGTAAGAATCGAGCCATCAGAAGGCTATGAGAATCCAGCCCATGGTGCAACCAAATACCAAGCCAGCACCCGCGAGACTAACTCCCAGAGCAAATGCCAGTCCCACTGTACATCCCAGTACCATCGAGTTATCTGACTGCCTGCTGCGTTTCTTAGATCTCATGCCTTCTTGGTGCTGTTTGCTGGGATCGCTGGAGCGCTTGAGCGAGGAGCTGTGCTGCTGGTCCATCTTATCAAAAGCAGCGTCTTCATCTTGGGGCCATTGCTCTCCTAGCTCTTCTTCCTGTCGCCTAAGAATCGAGTTCTCTGCCTCTAAGTATCTGACCCAGTGCTTGTATGTTAGCGACACGGACGCCTCCCGGAAGAAGAGCTTTAGGAGCTGGTCTCTCTCCGATACCGCCTCGGCTGCCCGCTTCTCGGCCTCCCTGGCTCGTGTCTGCGACCGGCAAAGGGCCTCCCCGAGCAGCTCCGAGTCCATGTTCTTCCAAAACATAGCGTCATTCCTGGAATTGAGAAGTATGAAACACTAGCACACGAAAAAAAAGTGGGAGTGTAAGTTACCTCTCTTCTTCTGCTGTCGGTTTTTCTTGAGAGATCTCGACTGGAGTCGGGATTTTGCTCTTCAGTTTCGGATCCAAAGCTCCAAGGCTTCGAAACGGCAATGACGGTGCGGACGATGGGAGACCGGGTGTTGCGAGCTTCTCCCCCCCACCACCATGGAAAACATCCTCCTTTATGGCCGAAGGTCTCAGCAAGCCTTTTGCTGCCGGCGAGAGAGGCGGCGGCAAGTCACAGTTTCCCATATCCTCGGAAGACTTCCTCGCAATGAGAGCTGCCAGTTCGCTTTTGTTGGCGTGTCGCCACCTTTGGCCCATCACCTCGAGATTCTTGGCGGATAAGCTGCAGCTCACGCTCGTCTTCTCGGCTAGTGACCGGTCCTTGTCAAAAACTTTTGCATCGGTGGTGCACGTCGATGGCGAATCTATAGCTTGCCAGTCCGACTCGAGTGACTTAGTCCCCGCCTCTGCTTCCAGGCCCAAGCTTTTCTTAGATGGCGATCGATCACCGTCGTTTTCCATGTGGAAGTGGAAATCTAGCTTCCTGTCCGGCAAGAAGTAGTGCGAGCTGACGGCACTCCACCCATCGCTAAGCTCGTATTTCCCTCCTTGTGCCTTCGTCTTATAGGCCTCGTCGTCCGGCTTTGATGATCGCTTGGCGTCCTCGTGGAGTAAGTAGCAAGTGGCAGCTGTTCTGTGCCAGGCGGTCCTCATCTCCGCGGCGGCCATCTCCTGCAGCACGACGATAGTGTCAAACAAAAGTACGTTTGGTCCTTCCAAGGAGGAAGAACAAAAGAAAAAAAACTATCCAAAAGGCTGGAACTTACTTAGAACAGTGACCCGCAAGAAAGCACTGACCCCGACGAGAGTCGCTGGCACGTCAAAAAATTTCCCAAATGCTCGGGCGGTAGAGTGTCAGGGAAGGAATAATGCCATTGCCTTGGCTTGACGAGAAGAATCGCGAAGCGGGGAGAGAAATTGCGACTACCCTACGCGAGCTAAAGAAAATCGCGACACGAGATCTAAGATCAGATCTAACCTGGAAAAGGTGCGCACCACGAAATTCTAGAGGCGTGCGGCGGATAGCGCTTCATCCCCGTGCCATCGCGAGCTGATAAACCCTAAATTCGCCATGGATACTTGTCCTCCTAAATTGCCTTCTTCGCTCGTATCGCATGAGCGCGGAAAAGAAAAATCCCCAATTCCTGTCATATGACATTCGCTTACGTGTCAGATGACGTGTCTTATCATCTGAACCCTCGATAATATCCTCATTGTTTTTTATCCACTGACCAATCTCAAGGACACAGCGCAAAAGTACATTATGTTATCCTAATCTTTGGCTTTAATCACGGAGCCGCTATTTTCTCCGGGTGTACTTTGGGCACTCGATTCATTAGTGTCAAAGCCTGTGTCACACACGCAAAAGAAAAAAGCGAAGGAATCAGTCAAGGAAAATGAGAAGTTTGCAAGCTTGAGAACCTTTGTGAAGATGTGGCAAATCATGCCGATCGGGCAGAACATGAGGCACAGTATCAACGAATGGCGAGTTTCAATGTTGTGTTCCAGCCCTTCGAGATAGATTTGTCTGGAAACAAGAGTTTAGGCGAGGTATGAAAGTGAATTCACAGAGTACCTTCCTACGAATAGATCAGCGGCAAGAAGATGCACCCAGGCGGATGCAACGGTTACTGTGCTGGCAAACATTTGAGTAATCCCAGCGAGCTGCAAGAAGTTTTGCTAGAATTTTCCTTTTGGCTGAAAGCTGTAAATACCTCTGGAAGGTAGTGCTTGGTTGCAAACATGTAGTGTAGAGTGTTAGGCGTCCAGGAAATGGATAGAAGATAAGTGTACATGGCTCCGAGGACGACGTGAGGGATGTTGCTTTCAATTACACGCTTTGTCTGGAAAAGAAGATGTGAGTTAGCTAAGCTACAAAACTGAAATCCTAGATCAGCTCACCCAAGTTTTCTTTGGAGCTAGAATCATGATGGTGTAGAAGGGCATCACCAGCGTTGTCGCAAGCGTGAAGAGCGTGGATGAGAGTTGCACTGTGCTTGTAACTGCGTGGACAGGCACTGGACAACACCAAACTCTAAGAACAGTTGCAAGAGAAGAGAAAGATGACTCACAGGATGCGGAGATTTTATGGGGCCGACTTTGCCGCTTATGCTGGAACTTCGTCAGCTTGGATGAGAACAGTCCGCGACTTGGAAGTGTGGCAAGTGGAGGAGATCTAGTAGATCGAGGTACCATCTTTGAAACACAAAAGAGAAAAGCGTTAGAAAACGTAATTAAAGCGAGGAAACATCTGTTTCTTGCCTGGATCGCTGAACAGCCATTTGCTCTGTATGGAACGAATGTTAGCAATCGAAGCTACGCAACACCAATCTTACTGACCTGTGCTGCGCTAGAACGATCTCCATTCTTGACTATAGACGAACCTCTGGTAGTCTCTCCCTCATGGGCTCCAAGAAAATGGAATGTAGCAAAGCCCCAGCCGCTTGAATGGCAGCGCACTGGTAGAATCTAAAGCACGATAGCGCACTGTGAAATTTTTCTTGACAAATGGGACGAATATTCGAACAAAATCGATAAGTGGAGATAAGCGTTGCCAGCTTCCCATTGGGTAGACAGACCACCTTGGCAACATCACTCACGATTGCTTGCGTTGCCTGAAATTTTTTTTGTCAAACATCTTCAGTCCGCGAGTACTGTTGACAGTTACAACTGAAAAGAATCGCTTTCAAGACATTGCGTACCTTCCAGGATTGCGGGGAGACATAGAGGCTAAGATGGTAGAACTTGCGCCAAGTACTTGGACACGGTCTCGGCAGTTTCATACGCCCCTTCTACGCATCGACCAAGTGCAACACCCGCAACGTAGTTACCTCCCAGGAAAATCCCCTCGACTCCAGCGTTCCTCAGACCAAACCGAGCTGCTTCAACATGATCCAGGTGGCCTACCGTGAACTGCGGTATTGCTCGAGGCCACAACCGAACACCAAGAATTTTCGGTGGCTCCGCGTCTTGTTTCAAGAGCATCTTACGGAGATCTCTATCCACTGCTTCCACTATAGCATCATCTTCCTGCGACGCATATTATGTATTACGTTGTAAGCGAAAATGGATCTGCGGCACAAACCTTCATTGATATTTGCATGTTGGTGGCACCTCCTATGTAGTTCAGTAAGAGAACACGGCCTTGGGGAGCACGGCCTGGAAAAAGAGAGGAACTGTAGATAGTTCCTGCAACAGCAAACAAAACATTTAGTCCTGCTCGAGAAGTCAAGAAACTCACCTAAAGTTTCTACTCCTTGGCTGCGAGGGTGAAGTTGGCCAAATCCACTCAAAACTCCATTGGACAAGCGATCTTCTCGAATGGCTGATTTAGGATACGATAAAGTTACTGCCACAACTGGAGGATAGAATATCTCTGAGAGGGCATCAGAAACTGCAGGCTGAAACACAATCGTAAGAAACGTTAGCAAAAAAGCATTTGAAATAACTTACGGAAACTGGTCGTAAAATCTCACTAGCAACGTAGGATGGAACTGTGAGGACGACAGATTTTGCCAAAACAGCCGTGGTTCCTTCTGGAGTATCATAAACAAGTGTATAGAGGCCCGCGGATGTTTTCTTTACAGACAAGAGCTTCCACTTGAGCTTTATGCTATCGCCAAGCCTGAACACAACAACCGTAATTGTGTCAAAGCACAGCAATTGTAATTGCTTACTTCGATGCTATAGCCTTGGGAAGCGAGATGAGACCCTTGCGAAATGATCCAACAGTTTGACCCTTTGGTTTCGGCAGTCGCCTACAACGAAAATGAAATCTCAAAAAGAACTGCTTTAATCAGACTTACTCATCACGAGGCGGAGGGGGATTCTTCTTCTTGTCCTGTATAAGCTTAATAGTTCCCCCGATGATGCTTCCACCTTGATCTTCCAGCTTCCATACTTTCCCGAATGCAGCTTTCATACTCAATTTCGAAGGATCACCAGCATAAACGCCTGAAATCCAACTAAGGGGAAAATCTACGCCAATCAAATAGTACTCACCTGAACAGAAAGGTTCGATCAGCCTCTCAAAGACTTCATCACCTAGGTTCCGACGAACAAACTGCTCTACGGATTCTTCACCACCCTGCACAACAGAAAATAATGAACACCGTTTATTAAAAGAGAAACAAAAAAAGGATACACTTGACATACCGGAGGTGGAGGCCTCAATCCAAGAGCTCCCAGGCCAGCTCGTATCTTTCCCGCAAAGCTCATAAGATCAAAAAACGGAAGATCGCCGAGCCCCGCTGGTACTTTGCGAAGCTGTCCACCCCACAAAACAAATCGAGGAGCATCGGGGTCCCCGAGAACAAGCTCGTCTTTCAGTCCGCTGTCAACCTGCAAGGAATATCAAAACGCGAGAAAATCAAGAGACTACGTACCGCCATGGTGAGCATAGAATCGTTGGGCTGGAAGCTGTTCGGTCCTTCCTCCCACAAATATCCATCCGACTCCAGCGTCGTGATATTTCCCCCTACTCTCTCCCTTGCCTCGGTCACCAGGATGGAGGTAACCGGCAGGCCGTGCTTCGTTGCTAGCGCCTGTGCTGTGCAAAGCCCCGAGATCCCAGCTCCCACTATCACGCAATCCAGGGACTTTCCCTCGGCGGAGCGCTCGGACACCGAGGGCGGGCTCACTGCTGGCTGCTTTGCGATCACTGGCACTACTGTCCTGCCCGGGGACGAGAACTTCCGGCATTGCTGCTGGAAGATTTTCTGCCTGGCCTTGGAGGCGGAGGAGGTGTGGCGCCTGCATTGGAGTACCTGGTGAGGATGAGGGATGTGGAGAGCTGTTGGAGCAACTTGAAACACCTCCATTGCTTTGGCGATTAGGGCTCCCTGGCCCCTCTGTTCCCTATACCATAGCTTTTTAGTCTAAACGAGCGCTTTTATACTTCGAGGTCCTCGAGGTCGGGGAGGGGATAGCGGAGGATGGCGGCAATGCCGGTCATTTGCGCCAGTTCTGCGAGAAAACGATGGAGACAGTGAGTGAGAAGACCGAGAGGCGAAAGGGAATTTCTTACGTTCGCCGGAGACGTGCATCGAGGAGAAGACGTGGACGTTTCCACCCTTTTCTTTCACTGACTCGACGAGCTCGACGTACCTTGTTCTCGTCGGAATGTCCGCGTTTCTGGAAGGAAAGACATCGTACGAGGAAAGAAGTTTCACAGCTCGTTTACCTGAAGAGTGCGTCAGTGATGAGAAGCGTCTGGACGGCGAATCTGTCGTGCGCTGCTGACACATGAGCGGGGCCATAAGTCGCTCGCAGAGGGTCCTAGTGAAAAAAAAGTGTCGGCGTGTCGCCAATATACAGAATCATTCACTCACTGTAGATAGCATGTTGAAGAACTGCTCCAAGGCCCGGACCTGCGTGTAAGTAGCTTACATAAGTAGCTTACATTGGAAGTCTTAACAAGTGTACCTCTTGGGCCGCTTTTGTATCTTTGATTCGAGAAGCAACAGAGGGCGAGCCAAGGACTTCTTTAAGTGAGTGCCTGCAGCCACCAACTGAAAAAAACCAGTCTTTACAAGACGCGAAAAGCTTACTTGTAGGCGGATGATGAGTGAGCTAGAATGAACTTCGATTTGTTTTCAATGATAGCCCTGATCTCCCTCCTGGTGCTCTCAAGGTTGATGTAATCAAAGAACTGGTCCTGGAGAACACAAGCAATTAGTTGCGTGATGAAACACAGAAAAAGTGCAAACCTTCGTAAATCCAGGACTAGCAAGTATTATGCAGCGGATCAAAGTGAAGTCTACGCTTCTTACTAGCGCCTGTGAGCATAATTTTTCAGGAAATGTTGAAGTTTAGAGACGACAAACCTGAAATACGTTCTCGAAGAATTTGTTCAGCGCCTGCAGGACACGGGTATCAAACCCAAATACACTTCATGAGCAGCTAATAAAAACCTTGTCATATCCGGCAATCGCTGCACCACGTTTGCGAGGAATAGAGGCTTCCACACGTGCCTTGATTGTTGTCATGCTGTAAAAGGAAAAAAAGAGGAGTGAGCACCTGGAAGCTTAAATTTAGGAAAAGAAGCTATACTTTTGACCTACAAGGCAGATGTGTGCTAGCCCCTCGTCAATCAGCACCGCTACTACATCGGCATTTGCAGTAGGATCTACAAAACATATCGCTTCTAAACACGTCGCATAGTTTCAGAAGAACACTCACCGGTAGCATTTTTTAGTAGCTCCAGAGCCCAGTTGTCCCATATAGTCTTCACAACGAGGAGTTAATTTCCAACACAGAGAAAAAAAAAATCGTCTAGTACCTTGGTCAGCACAAAGGCTCTTTGGAGGTCGATCTCCAGAGTGTGATACGCACCGAGCTGATATAAACAAAAACAAATGTAGAATGTGATTCTGCTCGACACGAGCTTACCTTGACATGGTCGTTTTCAGTGAGATTTTTGCCACGAATGCGCAGGACCGAAGCGATATTGTCGAACTCGGTTGCCTGTTACCAATGCGAAAAAGTCTAAACGACATTACCAAAGTTGCAATGGTATCACCTCCACAAGAACTTCTAGTTTCAATCGGACCCTCTCTGCGTCCCTTCCACCGCTTGAATTCTCACGTTGTACCTTTCTGGTGTCAAGGATCGCAATGAGGACACAAACAGGAGATTCTACCCTCGAAATTCTACCTCATTGTGACGGCGGAGACCTGATCATCCTTTGCAATGAGATTATAGGCATTCCAGAGATCGTCGTCTTCCTCTGGAACGAGCTGCAAATCCCACAGAAGAAGGCGAATGGATTGATCCAGCAAAGAATGCCGAGTGATCTAACCTTGACGGAGCCGGAGCCATCGGCGGCGATCCTCTTCTTGACGAGCTTCATCCTCCCTTAAACCCTAGAATATTTTCTCACGGAGGCTTGTGTTTTTCCACTTTAAACGAGCATGTCATAGCGGTACACGTGGAGGAGGGAGAGTGCTACGTGGCGATGCATTGCTGTGGTGTTGGCGTGTTGCTTCCAGGAGAGTCTCCCATTTGACGCTTTATAGAGATTTTCGAGCAGAGAAGAAGCGCGACGATCGATCGATCGATAGGTTTAGCTAGAGCAATGGCACCATACCTTCCCGAGAGTGGGATGAAGGTAGGCTACAGCGTCGACGACGAGAGGGAAGCGGCGCAGCAGCTGGATCCGAGCTTGCCCTTGCTGCAAGACGCGGATCTTAGGGACAAGATTGTGCTTCTTCGCGTCGATCACAACGTTGTCAAGAAAGGTGAGGACGATCGCAATCGTTTGGATGTGATTTCTAGATTTCGATTCTTCCAGGGAGAGTCCAGGACCAGTACAGGATCGATGTTACTCTGGCGACTATGTATAACATTGTGGAACGCGGAGGAAGGTAAAGTTTAGCTTGAAGTTCCTCTTTCATTCTTGCACCCTTTTTTCTAGGCCGATTATCATGACTCACATTGGAAGGCCTTTGGACAAAAAGACTAAAGCTATCACCGTGAACAAGGACGATGCTGTGGATGCCGTGGTTGCCTACTTGCAACGGAAGCTCCGTATCAAGTTCGTGGTTCCGGAGTTCCACATAACCGAGCCCGAAGGAATCGTGGATATCGACACTTCCGTGAACTGGTTGATCCACGACTTGAAGGAGGGAAAGATTGGAGGGATTTATCTCCCAAACACTCGTTGGTTTGCTGTAAGTTCTATGAGCTTCATGGTTCTTTGAGTTCATTTCTTAAGTTGTGACACAGGGCGAGGAAGATAAAGGAGACAAGCGTGAAAGATTCGTGATCCAGCTTGCTGGTCTTGCGGATGTTTATGTCAATGACGCGTTTGGTTCGTGGCAGCCTCATGCTTCCACATATCAGATTACAAAGCTACTTCCATCGTATGCTGGCCTTTGCCTACAGGTAAGCATTTCAATCGCTTCTTTCTGATCTGAACCCGTTCCTTGAATGCAGGATGAACTCTTCAACGTAAAACTAGTGCTCAATCCAGCAAGACCCTTCGTCGCTGTGGTGGCGGGTGCAAAGTATGACACAAAGATCGGGCCCCTCAAGGAAATATACAAGAAGGTCGACAAGCTCATCTTGGGAGGTTTAATATTCAACACATTCCTGTGTGCAAAGTATGGCTTGAAGATTGCTGGGGTGGAGGTATGGACGTCAAGCACATTCTCTTTGCTGTCCACGCTGTTGGTTTTTTTCTTTTCTAAAACTTTTCGGTGCGATTGTTGTCACTGTGCAGGAATCGGACATTGAGCTCGCCAGAGAACTGGTGGAACAGGACAAGAACGAGAAGAAAATCGTTGAGCTGCCTTACGTTGTTGAGTCGGACGTTACGGATGGTCGCCACGAGGGAAAGTTTCGTACCATCTCGATCAAGGTAAGTTTTCTTGCTTGCTTGTCGATCATATCCTAGTAACTGTGATCAATGAGCAGGATTCCGGCTCAAAAGAGTTCAAGTACGTGGTCGATGTGGATCCAAAGTCCTTTGAGGAAGGCCCGGTTCTGGAGGCGCTAACCTCCGCAAAGACGATCTTCGTCAATGCGGTCATGGGGCTCGTCCCTCACTTCTGGCAGGGAACCCGCAAGATGGACGAGGTGATTGATCGCAACCGAGATGCGCAAAAGTTTTTTGGAGGAGGAGACACCTTACAGGTCTTCAAGCGGTACGTTACCCGAGACGAGTTCTTACAAAGTTTCTCTAAAATTCTCTCGTTGGTTCAATGCACAGCTTGCTTCCGGGGATTTACCACGAAGCCATGGACAGTCCGAAGTACTATCTCTTCACTGGCGGAGGAACAGTGCTCAAAGTGCTCGAAGAGGGCGATCCATTTGGCTTGGATATCGTGAAAGCTCTCGTGGAGAACAAGCGACAGCGAGCGTAGAAGAATGTATCGCTTTAACCGATAGAAAATAAAAATAAAACAAAGCATTCATGTAAAAATATTTTTTTTCTTCCTTCCTACTGGAGCTATGGAGTCTGTGACAAATCCTTTGCTGCCAGAGCCCTGGTACCCGCGAAGACTAGCGGCAAAATTCCAGGCTAGAGCAGCGAAGCCTAGATTTGTAACTAGGGCAACGATGAGCAAAGATTTGCTCGTGGTCGGGCCCGGGCGGCTGGGGCGATTGATTGCCAAGCATTGGGGCGAGGTGTGGAAATTGTCGCTAGAATTTCTCCAAATCTTGTGTGTTCTCGCCAGGAAAACCGGGGTAGCGCTAGAATCGTGGGGCAGACGAGATCCAGCAAAGAACACGACGCATTGCGCGCGCTCGGGATCGAGCCGGTTGTGAGGGACGCCGCCACGGCCGAGCGCTTCCCTTTCGTGGTGTTTTGCGCTCCTCCCGACACAGATTACGCGCTGGAAGTGAGGTAAGTTCTTGGGAGAAAGAAGACCTTCCTCTTGGAAGAAATTGTTCTCGACTTTGCGATGGGATGGATGATAGGAGAGCTGCGGAGAGATGGAATGGCGAGGGATCGTTGCTCTTCACTTCTAGCAGCGCGGTCTACGATTGCTTCGACAATGGTTTGTGCGTGGAGGTGAGAGAACTAAATTTCTTTTGAAGTGGATGAACTTAAGAACACTATTTTTTTTTTTTTTCGGTTAGTCCACTCCCACAGTTGCCAAAGGAAGAAGTCCCAGGACTGATACGATTCTAGCTGCTGAGGAGGAGATTCTCAAAGTCGGAGGGAACGTTGTGAGATTGGCAGGACTTTACATATCCTTTCCCGCAAAGTTCTTCGCGATTTTCGATTGTGTTGCCTTGACTTAGCTCGCCACAGTGCTGATCGAGGCGCTCATGCTTACTGGCGAACTTTCCCGGTTATAAAAGAGCGACCGGATTGTTACATCAATCTCATTCACTATGAGGTATCCTTTCGCTCTCAAATTCTTAGTTTCTTCCTTCACTCGTCTTTCAAGCTTTTCTCCTTTCGCATTCTCTCGTATTCTTACTTTGTCTGTGTGTTTTTAGGACGCTGCTACTCTGTGCGTGGCCATACTTCGAAGAACGGACTTCCGTGGTCGCGTTTTCATGGGCTGCGACGGCACTCCAATGTCAAGGTGGGATTTTTCGTGAAGCTTTTACGAGAATTCGCTCTGGAATTCCTTTGAAACAGGCAAGAGATCATGGACGTGGTGTCTAAGAACCAAGAGTGCAAGACCACTTTCACTGGTACGATACGATCGATTCAGCTGCTTGTTCTTCCGATTTTGCTGATCGAGTTCTTCTTGTGCTGTCAAGGATCTGATGGACCTCTGGGCAAGAAGATGGATGGATCCAAAACTCGCGAAGAACTCCACTGGCAGCCCAGATACAAAAGCTTCGAGGAATTCATGAAGCTTCACTCCGCTGTGACTGTGTAAACATCTGCTTGCTCCGGCCGTAGATTGTTGAAATCCAACGGTCTGCGCTTGGACACGTTGACTTTTTGTTGGCGCGAGATGGTTACAAACATCGGACGGTCTCATCAATCTTCTCGGCATCGACGGACGAGAGTGTGACCACGTGGACCTCCGCCAGCTGCAGGATTTGTGGATTGAGCGGCCGGGATGCGCCAAAAGAAATGCATGACGGGCCGCGGCGACGTGCCGGATCGCGCCGTCCGATTCGCCCCCATCCAACGGCCACGACATTCCCTGCTCTAGCAAAAATGCACAACGCAACACCCAGAACAAAGGAAGACACCACAAGAGGAGAAAGAAGAGTTTTGCGAAGGAAGCAAAGCAGCGAGGGCAAGGGGCTTGCAAGGGCGTCGCGCGGTGGCGTGCCCTGGCTATGGCGAGGGTTTAGAATCGTCTTGCGGACGATTGAGGGAGCCGCGGCGCTCATTTGCCAATCCGGATAGTTTGCTCGTCGCAGGTATGGTGGATTCAGATTCATCCGCCAGCGCTCCTCGTCTCCATCGGCGCTCCAAGCTGCATTGAAAGATCCCAAAGAAAATCTGGTTGCCAGGGAAACCATTTCTTCCCCAGGGCTTGGGATTCGCCATCGGGATCTTTGCGCGGATCGATCTTTCTTGCCCGGCCGTGCATCGCCGGGTGATGCATTCCTCGGGCGGATTGTAGGATCGAGTCGGATTCCCAGGGCCAAGACCAGCGGCAAGGCACGCACAGCCGAAATATTCTGGCAAGGGAGGCTTTGCAATTTGGGATCGAGAGGGCGATGGCCGCGGATCGCTACTACTGCTGCAGCGAGGATGTGTGCGAGGAGAAATTGGCATTCCGGAGAGCAATGGCAAGGCGGGCGGAGAAGGTCCAATTCGACAAGCATCCTTCGTCGATCATCCAAGAACCGACGCAATCGCAGGAGGTCGCCGCGATTCATCAAGAATCGCAGCAGCGGCAGGAGCTTTTGGAACCATCGGCGGGGAGGAGCAAATCCAGCGCCGCCGATGGGATGAATTCTTGGAAGATGGCTGCAAGACGGGCTATGGTGGTGGATCATCATCGTCCACAGCAACACCGCCAGGTCGGGGATGATCAAGAGCCGGTCATACCGATCTCCAATCCTGGGGCAGTGGCAGCGACGGTGGTACCAGCAGCGAAGCAGTACCACAGAAATCTAGCAGCGGCAGTGGTGATCCAAGATCCTCGTCCCACCGGCGTTACCGTGCCTCGCAACCCGGTAAACGCAGTGGTGCGTCACCCCGCCGCCGCGGTGGTACCGCGCGTCCACCGCGGTGTCACCGCGGTGCTGCCATCCTACGTCGCGGATATCAACCTGGGCAGCAAGAGGTACCGCGAGAGTATGGACTACGCTCACTTGGGCTGCAGGCATTTTGTTCCTTGCGACGATCGCGACGATCTGGAGGAGGCCAAACCGAGCGCCACGACGGTGTCGACGATGGTCTCGGTGCCCAGCTCCAATCAAAGGGCGATGGCGATCAAAGCCAAAGTCGGGGGAGCCGTTTTGGCAAGGTCGATGGTTCCGGAGGATCGGGATCAGTACAGGCAGGGGCAGGAGAGCGCGATCCAGGTTTGCGGTTTTTCGGGCAGATCGGGTGTTGGGCATTCGCAAGATCGTCATCCAAGGGCGGATCCTTCTGGGGTTAAGAAGAGCAAGGAGGAGGAGAAGGAAGAGGATCAGAGCGCCGGCGCGATGGGAATTGATCGGCAGGGCGGTATCGCGAAGAAGGTGGATGGCTGTTCTTCGTCGGGTGAGGTGGCTATCTCCCAGGTGACAACTTGCGGCGTGGAGAGCTCCGACAGTGGCAATGGGTTGGATCAGGAGCTTGGGCAGGGGGAGGAGCATCAGCATTTGGCGAGGAAGAGCAAGAGGAAGAAGGTGATGGAGGAGAAGTTCTCGGGGGATGCGAGAGCTAGGTCGGGCGATCAGGCCCTGGCAGGGAAGTTGGAATTGGAGGGCGTGGGCGACGAGATGGATGATCCAAACCCTGCGGAGGCGATGTCCGAGGCGCTGGACGTGCTGGCGGAGGCTGCCATTCAGGCGTCGTCGTCGCCACCACCAGCAGAGGATTGCAGTGTGGAGATGGTGGAGATCTCCAGCGACGAGGAGAAGGTGGATGAATTGGGGAGGAGGATCTGGAGGAAGGCGAAGTTCGTGCATGGCGAGATCCCGTTTGTGCAGAAGAGGGTCGTGCGGAGGTGCCCGCGGCCGGGCAAGGTGGCGATGCAATTGGAGGTGGGATCGGATTGGGGATCCAGCAAAAGGCCCGGGGTGCGAGCGTCGCAGCGCAGGATTGAGCAGCAGCAGCAGCAGCAGCCGCGCAAGCTCCTCATGGCGGATGCGTTTGAGTACGGTGTGGTCCGAAAGAAATCCCGGAATGAGGATCACCAGGAGCATCGGCCGGGCGTCAAGAGGAATGCTGCTGCTGGCGAGCTCGCGAATTCGAAGAAGAAGAAGAAGGCGACGACGACGACGAAGACGAAGAAGGGCGCCGGGGTTCATCAGAGAAAGAGGGACCTGAGCACAGTGGTGAGGGAGTCCGCGACGATTCTCGATCATCGCCGCCATCTCCAGCTCGTGGGCGATGGCGATGGCGATGATCATGGAGAGCACCTCGAGGCCGCGGCGCCGGTGCCAGTGGTGGTGGTGGAGGAGGAGGAGGAGGAGGAGGAGGAGCAAGAGGAGGAGGAGGTGCAAGATCATGGTGGTGGCGAGGACGCATTTGGTGGTGCCCTGATTCGATCCAAGCGTGGGAGAAGCCAGAATCTGCCGCTGCGGTTCCAAGGCTCGGTGCTGGGGAATTGGAAGAAAGGGAGGAAGAGCAAGCCCTTTGGAGCAAGGTAGTGATCCATGGCATGGATGGATTTTCACGCGGATGATAGAGAGGTGGTATGTAGAAATCGTGAAATCATGTACAGGGAAGGAGGAGGGAGCTACGCCACCACCACCACAGGCCCGGAGAGATCAAACTTCTTCTTCTTCCTCATCTCTTTCGTTGTTTCTCGTTTGGAATTTTTGTAGCGATCATACCAACAGATTTGAAAGATACAAGTTTAAACCATTTGCAAGGAATGCTTCTCTGATCCATACACAAATCTTCCTTCTTGATCGATGTTTTTGTTTCTCTCGCTTGGTATAATTCACTTGGTTTCTTTCCTCGTTGGCTTCTTCACCTTGTTTACTACCACCGAGTCTCGTAGCCTCGTCGGTAAAGCTCGGGGTCTTCCACGCTTGGATCGAACGAGTGGAGCTTTCGTGACAACGAGAGATTCGTCCTCTTCTTCTTCTTCTTCCTCTTGTTCTCCATCTCCTTGCTCTTCCTGTTCGTCATCGCCTCGTCTCTCTTTACGGCCAGCTTTGATCGCGGCTCGAGCAGCGGCTTGTTCTTGGTGGCCATTTCGAGCTTTCGACTGGCTTCTCCTCGGCTGCTTTGGTTCCGGCTGCTGTGGCGTGCTGATCGCAGTGAGAGATCGCTTTTTCGTTGACGTTGGCCTTGTCGTCGTCGTCGTCGTCCCCACCGTCGTCCCCTGTTGAGGGTGGTGTCCATTCCTGGTCTTTGATGGAGCTTGCCGGCGATGGCTTGCGACTGGAACGATCTGGTTCTGCTCCTCCTCCGAGCTTTTCTTCCTAAACGCGCTCTTGGTATGCCTGGAGGATTTCTTTTGTACAATCCAGACACCCGTGTGCACGAAAAACGCTCCCTTTCGTTGCTGCTGCTGCTCTTGTTGCTGTTGACGATCCTGTTCCTGCTTTTGTAAGCTTTCCTGCCTGGCCGAATTTCTCGTCGGTTTCGGAGCTCGCGAGGCCGATGAGTTCCGAGTGTTGGCGGTTTGAGCCGGACCATCCTGAGCTCCAGCGCCGGCGTCCCGCGCTGACGATGAAGTATTGAGCTGAGCTCCAGAATTGGATATCCTGGACCCAAGCCTGGTAGCCTTGGCCGGAGCATCACCCTGAAGTGCGTTCATCAGAAGATCCAAAGGTCTCGTTCGCAGTTTCCGGCCAGAAGTGCTTTTCCCTGCTTTGGCTGGAGATTCCGGTACCAAGCTCTTGCCTGCCAGGCCACTCGGTTTGAACCCTCCGTTCGATTCAGTGGCCACGGCTGTTTTCCCAGTCTGTGAGTCAGAGCTCCCTTTCTCAGATGCCGAATTCGTGGAGCTCAAATGCTTCACGGTCGAAACTTGCGGTGGAACTTGGTCCTGGTTTGGCAGCTCTTCGTCAGAAGAGTTACGTAGAATCCTTCCAAATGCCAACGGAGGGCTGTGAGCGAAAACGTTGGTCGCTGGAGGCTTGAGGAATCCGGCACCGGATCCAAAACTCACACTCCCAAGCCCAGAAAACAGTGGAGTCGGCGGCACTGCCTGCTGCTTGATAAAAGGTGACGGAAGTTTGCCACCCTGACTATCTTCCTCTCGTCTTCCACTGCTGGAAAATGGTGACGACGAACTCGCTTGGAAAAGCTTGGTGGGATCTGCAAAGGCCGTTCTAGGAGCCGGCATGAGTTCCTCGTCCGTCGTCGTGGAGAGATCGTTCCTTTCACTGTCCAGATGATGTGCATTGCCGGAAGAAGAATTCGTCCGTGACCCCATTAAGTTGGAAAGATCACTTGGGCTGCCCCTCCCACCATTGTGGAAATGGTTTCCCTGTACTCGCTGGCCACTGCTATCATCACTCCTCTTCTCTCCAGCGAGAAGCAAAGCGCTGGGTTCTTCTTGTTTGCACAGTTGCCACTCGTCTATCACCGGCGGAGCTAGCGGGCAATTGGGCTTCATTCCAATGGGAGGCCTCCACACCGCGGGGGCTTGCCTCTTGGAAACCATGGCTTCTTCCTCGGCACTGGAGCTGGATTGATAGCGCCCGCCGCCGTGGAGCTCCTCCAAATCGGCCGCCTGGCGCTTTCCCTCGGTGAGGAGATGCAGCAGCTCGCCGGAAGGCCGCCATAGCTGCTGCTGGTATTGCTCCTGCTGCGCGATCACGCGACTCTGCATCATTCTCACCGGGAATCGCAGTAGCCCTGCCCTCCCTGCCCTGGCCTCCTCTAGCGCATCGATCTGCTGCTAGACAATGTGGCTGCTATCTAAGAACCCTAGACCTGCGCCGCGCATTTGGATTTGGGAACGTACACTGGATATTTTGGATGCGATTCCCTCCCCGGATGGAGAGATTGCCGCGCCGGATCAAGGAGAAAACCTATCGCCGATCCAGGTGCTCGGCTCAATCGCCAAGGACATCGTCGTCCCACTGCAACAAGCAACACACACATGACAAGGCCCGTTGGATGGCCGATCGAACGGCTGGGCGCTGGTGCAAATCATGGCCGTCGATCTAGACTCCCGGGGAATAAATCCGACGAACGGCGGCAACCCGCGGGCTCGCGCAGATTCAAAGGCCACGTGGCGGTCCGGGATTGGTCTCAGGGCTGGGGAATCCTGTGGCCAAACGTCCATCGTCTTCCCCACAAAGAAATTTAGATAGATAGGCCATAAGCAGGAATTCGCGAGCTAGGGCGTCCGGGGAGCGCGTTCGTGCTGCTGCGAGCTGGGGGCGTAGCGGAGGCGATTGCGCAGCGGCGCGATCGAGGTGCGTGGTCGATCGATCCAAGAGCTTCGTAAAGCCCTAACCCTAACCCTAACCATTGTTCTTCCTCTGGACGTGACGCGAAGTCTCTCCTCGCCTCGGATGATGGAATCGGGCGTCTGGATCAGCGCCTGAGGAGGAATTCGCAGGGATTTTCAAGCTGGAGATGCCATCGGCGCTTTGCTCGTCCCCGGCGTCGGAATGCTGGCGACCCCCGGACGCGCAGCAGCAGCAGCAGCAGCAACAACAACAGGTTCTAGGGGCAGGATTTCAGCAGGGAATGGCACAGCAAGGGGCGGTGCCAGGATTCCAGCCGGGAAATTCACAGGGGATACCGCAGGGTAGTGGTGTTAGTGTCGTCTCACAGGGGATACCAGCGCCGAGTAGTGGTGTTCTACATCCGGGGCAGGGATTAGCGCCGACGCTGCGGACTCCAGCGTTCCAATTGCCTCCCTATCCTCTTCCAGCTGCGTGTCAAAGGATGACGACCCAGACGATGCTCGATAAGATCAGCGAGTGTATGCAAAAGCTACATTCCAAGCCGGTTCTAGCTCCAGCTCCAGCTCCGGGGATGCCATGGCCGGGGATTCCAGGGACGCCGGTGTTCTTCCGCCCAAACGGCCGAGTCGGGGAGACTGTTCATGTGGCGCGAAATACCATGATGCTGCCATTGGACCCCAGGTATGCGGGAATTCCCCGGGGGCCAGCCGGCCCAGTGAAGCAGGCTTTGAATGGCGTCGTGAGTGCCGGGGCTGTAGCGGCGAGGCAGCAAGTGGTGAATGGAACCAGTGTTGGTGCCATGTCTCTGGAGCGCATGAGGATGAATTGCCTCGAGGGCACTCGGATGGTGACGGTTCCAACACCGCAGAGTGGTTTGTCGAAGCCGAGAGGGAAGAAAAGGGCGAGGGAGGCGTCCTCTGGCTCGGTTTGTGTGAGCAATCAGCAGTGCCCGTTAGAGAATCCGGTGGGGAAGACGAAAATTCTGATTTTCCATCAAGACGGCAGCAAGGCGAGCAAGGTGGTGGATTTCATACCCGGCAAAGGGAAGTGTACTGGTGGAATCCCTTCAACCCAAGCTCCTTCTCCGGACGGTGTTACAAAAGTTGATAGCGAGGCGTCAAGGGATGGCAAGCGGCAGAGAGTAGAGAGCAGGGAGTGCGTTCTAGCGCGGATGCTGATCAACAATTATCCAGCGGCCGAGAATTTGTTACTAAGTGCGGTCCATAGAGCAACAGGCTCAAGCGTAGCGGAAAAAGTCGCTGAAGACGACAAAAGGGCGCAGGTGCCTGGCACCAGAGCTGCCGGTAAACTCCAGTCGAAGCGAGCCGAAGCGGCGGCGAGCAAAGCCGCTGAGGAACTGAAAGGTGGGAAGAAGCAGGAAGCAGAGTCTGTGGAGTCTTCGGTTTCCAAAGAACCGGAAGGTCCCCTTATTCAAACGAAGAGAGGCAGGACTCAAACCCGTCCAGTGTGGCTTCGAGATTCGGTAGTGGAGCCTTTGAAGAAGCCAAAAGACGAAGCTAAGACGGCCAAGCGGGAAATGACCCCGAAGTGTAAGAAACCAACGAAGGCACGCGCGGATGCAAAATCTACTCAGCCTGTGAAGCGAGCAAAGGACGTGGAGAGTGACTCAGAAGACGATGAGATATCAGCTCGTAAGACGCAGAAGATGAACTGCTTGTTATCGACAAACCAAGAATTTGACGAGCCGGAGGCCCAAGATTATGACAGTGATGCAAGCGACATGTCTGTGGCAACAATCATGGCTCAGCATCTAGCAGAGAAATTTGAGGAGGGTGTCATTGTGTGGGCAAAGTCTGGAAAAAGAGCCGATCTCTTTTGGCCGGCAAAGGTTGTGAAGTATCCACCAGCGGCAGTTCAAAGTTCTCGTGTCCCAAGCTCCGTCTGCGTGATGTTCTTCGGGACTGGAAAGCAGCGGGTAAGCATTTACTTTTTCCAGTCTCCAGTCCAGATTCTGACGTGTTTTATTTTCTAAAAGGAGTTTTCGTGGGTTCAAGGGAGCATGATATTTCCATTCATGGATGAGCTCGAAAGGTGTGTCCTATCCTTTGCAAGACTTCTCAATTCAATTGATCATGTGCCAGGTATCAAAATCAAACTTTGCAAGAAGATGAAGAAAAAGCCTTCGGCTCTGCAATGGAGGAGGCTATACTTGCGGAATCTGGTTTTGAGCAAGAAGAAGTTGAGAAGCAGCCGGTTGTCTGTGAAGCTAAACCCGAAACATCAACTAGTGATACCGATCAGCCTCTTCTTGAAGACGTTAATAATTTTGCAGAAGAAGATCAGGTACGTCTAGAATATTCACTTTTTCGCGCCTAAGAACGGGTACCTGAACAGCACTGCAGCGTGTGTACAGAACCCCGATCCTTGTTCGAACAAGTTTCTTGGGTAAGAAGTTTCTGTCTTCCTGGATTCCTTTTCTAATTAACTTTTTTTTTTTTCAGGTCCGTTGTGGTGCTTGTCAAGTCTGGATGCATGCAGCCTGCGTAAAAGTTAGCAAGGTGCTATCGAAGGTATCTTGTGATATTTATTTTTGTCAATCTCACCTTGTCAATCCGGCAGACTGCTTCTTCTTACACTTGTAACATATGCAAAAGTAAAACACGGCAAGGGTAACAGATTTTTCTCGTCTTTCACATATTGCATTGCTAACCGGAGTTTAGGATGCTGGCGGAGTGGAGCACTTATCTCATCCCTGAATGTTTAATTGTTTACTGCGGTACAAAAGAAGCTGAGTATCGACCAAAACGCCACGAGTAAGCTGGAATAACTCTGTTTATTGTGCTTGATTTTCTCAGTTTTCTTATGTCCAACAGGGTCTTTTGTCAATGTGAACTATGTGGAGATGGTAAATTCATGCCCCCATCAGAGTGGGAACGGCACGCAGGCTGTAAAAGCAGACGGTGGAAATCAACTATTAAGATAAAAACCACACAGCAGTCTCTTTACTTATGGGTGAGTGTAAGGGGCTTGGAAACATTTAATTCTGAAAGAGCGTACACTTGCAGCTTCAAAGAATGATTGAGAGTGGCGCACCAGGCATCGGCTACAACTCGCACAATGTTCGGAAGCTTGCGGTGAAGGATTTCACCGCTTGCCTACAAGGTAAGATATTGCGTTTCAATTTTACTCCAGTCTTCATACTCTTTCTTCCTTTGTTAGAGCCGTACACACCGGTAATAGTCAACTGGACGTCAGAAAGATGTGCCGTGTGTCGTTGGGTTGAAGATTATGAATATAACAAGATCATCATTTGTAACAGGTATGACACATTTTCTCACTGTTCTATTCTTAAACTCGCGAGCAGGTGCCAACTAGCTGTGCACGAGGAGTGTTATGGGGTCAAAGCATCCGAAATAAGTAGTTCCTGGGTGTGCCGAGTCTGTCAAACTCCTGACATAGAACGAGAATGCTGCCTTTGTCCAGTAAAAGGTACTTCGTCATGCCTAGACTCTACCGCGATAAAACGTTCGTGATTTTGCCACAGGTGGTGCGCTCAAACCTTCTGATATTCCTGGATTTTGGGTCCACGTTACTTGCGCCTGGTTCACGCCAGAGGTAGCGTTCAAGGATATAAATAAGATGGAACCGGCGGTTGGTCTGCAAGGGGTGGACACCACCCGTTTTTCTCAGGTGTGTTCTCGTTCTGTTTGAACCAGAACAATGCCAAACCTTGTGTGTGTGACAGGCATGTGTAGTTTGTGAACAAGTGCACGGAGCCTGCATACAATGCACAAAATGTCGCACCACATACCATCCTATGTGTGCCTCAAGGGCGGGATATCATATGGAGGTAAAAGCGCTCAGCAAGAGATGCCCGATAACTAACGGGACTTGTTTCAGCTGCAAATATCCAAGAAGAAAAATGTACCGTCTACGAGGATGCTATCATATTGCGCTGCACACAAGTTAAGCTGCCTACGAATCAATTTTACTTCGCTAAGCACATTTAACTCTTGCAGAACTCCAAGCCCTGATGCATTTCTCCAGTACAATATTACGCAAAAGAAGCCTCCAGCAACCAAATTTCCACTGGCCCCTGTCCCCACAGAAGAAGTTCCCTGCGTGGAGACGGAAAGGCTAGGATGCCTTCTCGCTGCCAACGAACTGTCTCGCAGTCTTGAGATCTCGTTTGAAAAATTCAAGCGCTGGAGGATGCTTCCTGCTGCCAGATGCCAAGCATACAACCCTGATGATACATCTCACAAGGTACGACAGAATTGACATTGGTCGTGTGTTTCTAATATGTGTTTGTGGTGGGATTCTAGAAACCGACTGGAGCTGGGATAGCTTACAGGGTGATGGGATACACCAAGAACTCCCTAGACTGGATCAGCTCACTGAGGGTTCGAGAATTTTTCAGACCTGTCCTCTAAATTCTGATGGTGTACAATGCACAGGACTACCTAGAACCAGATCATGGCGAAGTAATGTCTATGAAGGAGCGTCTGTCGTTTCTACAGGTTCGAACACGTCTAAATTTCCAGGATATATATGTGGCCGTGCCTGGTGCAGAAAACTGAGAAAACGAGAGTTTGCTTTGGTAAATCAGGCATCCATGGATGGGGACTCTTTGCGAGGCGATACATCAAAGAAGGAGAGATGGTAAATCATCGCCCTGCGTACTATTACTTCGAGTTGATTGCTAAATGTCGTTCGGGATGCCAGGTGGTGGAATACAGAGGGGAAAGGATTCGCCGTAGCGTGGCAGACTTGCGGGAAAAGCGTTATTGCTTGGAAGGCAAGCACTGCTATGTAAGTGTACAACCTCAGCCTTCGACTTTTGCTCCCACTCTAACTTTGCATGGACTTGGATTTATAAAACCAGCTGTTCAAGATAAGCGAAGAAGTCGTCATTGATGCAACGGAGAACGGCAACATTGGACGGCTGATCAACCACTCGGTATGTCACTCTTTCTTCCAATGATCATCACGATGTTTATCTTTGTTTTGTTTCCACAGTGCGAACCAAACTGCTATGCGAGGATTGTGAGCGTAGAAGGCGAAGGCGAGAGCCACATTGTGCTGATTGCACGTAAAGACGTCTCAGTCGGCGAGGAACTTACGTGAGTGAGAGAAGATCCAGTTGGCAAAAACAACAGAGAACTAGATCTCTCTTCTCGTCTCGTGGTTTTCTAATCGATTCTCTTTGGTGTGGCCTGTGTAGGTACGATTATCAATTCGACAAGGAAGACAAGAAGGTCCTGTGCCTGTGCGGCTCGTCACGGTGCCGACGATTCATGAACTAGAAGAACAAGAACAAGAACCAGAAAAAAAAAAATCACACAACGATTCTTTCCACAATTCTTGCCGAGCTGTAAATACACGTGTTTTAACGCCGCCACGTGGCCTGCCAGCGGTCCCGCCCAGGTGTCCTGTATAGTACGGTCCTGCCGCGTCACCCCGCATGCGCCGGAATATGCTGGTCTCCGGAGTTAATGACCGACACGCCACGTGTCGGTTGTACGGCTTTCATTCAATGGACCGCGAAGTCTGGCAGCTCCAGGCAGCGCAAAACGCAATGAGAGAGAGAGACCGGATGGAGGCGATTATAAAATCCCAGTACTGGATCACCACTCTTTACTCCACTGCCTCGTTTGGATCCATCCATTCATCGTCTCCAGTTCGAGCGCGCTGGTCATTGCTGATCGGAGGAAGAAGATGGCGCCGGTGAAGATCGGAGTGGTCTTGGCTGTGGTGGCGCTGCTGGCGGCCATTGCTGGGCGCGTGGAGGCGGCGCAGTGCAATGGCAGCCCGGCGATGCTGGCCAGCTGCCTGCCCGCGACGCAGAGCAGCACCTCGTACCCGGGCGCGCAGTGCTGCTCCTCCCTCACGCGCTTCCGCGGCAACCCCGACTGCCTGTGCTCCACCATGCTCACCGCGCGCCAGCAGTTCACCTTCTCCGTCCCCAACGCCTTCACCATCCCCGAGCGCTGCGGCTACGCCAACGAGATCCCGCCGCACTACAAGTGTGGAAGTGAGCTCCTCCACCTCTCTCTTTCTTTCACTTCGATCTTCTTCTACTTGTGTGCTAAAGTCTCTTGCTTTTTTGTTTCCAGACTACGTTGTGGGGCACTGAGCGAGCGAGGAGAGCACTGTTCTATGTACGCTGATCAATGTTTACAATATATATATATATACTCTGGTTTCCTGTCATGGCGATCTAGATAGGCACTAGATCTTCACTCATGATCCGTGGATTCGCTTTCTATCTTGAGAGCCGGAGGATGATTGGAATTTGGAGGGCGGCACGGAATGTTGAAATGTTGAACGAGCGAGCCGTTCAACGAGCGCTCTACACGGCATTCAATGTTTCTGAAAAAGTTGCGTAGTCTTGCTTTCATGTACACAACACAGTTCTGGAAAGTGGATCTTTTTTCTCACCAAAGCGCTTGTCAGAAAATTGCCAGCAACCAGGCAGGCAGGCTGAAGCGAAAAATACAAGACTAAAGGTTACAACACTAGTACCAAGACTCATAGCGAGCTTTTTTAGAGTTAAACCTCGCTGCATTTGACTTGCATTGCCAAGAGATTCAAACGCTCAGGGGCCTGGACGAGGAACGGCCTTGCCGGATCAATGGTTCGCTTCTAACTTTGCGGCTCAAGCTCTGGAACATCGGGAGGAAGGCTGCATACAGCCCGCAGAAGATGAAGGGCGAGGCAACGATCCATCCCAGCACCTTTTCACCAAACAAAGAATCAAGAATCAATAACCAGATAGTTACAGCAAGAGAACTGAGCAAAAAACACGTACTGCGTACAAAAGGCCAAAGATCACTTGTCGAGGCAAATGGCCAGAGAAGGCTTCTTTGAATGTGCTTGTTGTCAGAGCGATGTGCTCCGCTCCGAGAACGTACTCTCCAACTCGCAAAAACGGGATAATCAAGCTGTCCACGAGAAAGTAAAGTTGAGAATATATGAAAGTAGCGGAATTGAGATTTTCAAAGAAGATGGAGCTTCAAAGCGGGCAGTGGATGGCCTACCTCAGTTCTATCGGTGTAGCTACGAGATTTGCCAGCATTAGCAACGGGACATGGCACTTAGATCGAAGGACCAGAGCAGCAAGAGCACACAGCAACGCAGTAGCACCTACAAGAAGGTAGCAAAGATTAAAAACGAGCTCTCTAGATAGCTTAGGAAACTTGCCATAGACTGGGAAGACTCCGAGCGTGATCCCGAGAGCACCGGACAAGGCGAGCTGTTTGGGTTCCGTTCCCCTGATGTTCAAAGACCCAATCAATTCGAGAACGAAACAAAAAGAAGAACGAGAGAAGAGCTTACCTCCGGACGAAGCCGAGCACGGGATCCACAATGCGGCGTCTCATCCAACGAACCAACCAGTTGTTCCGCAAGCCCATCTTTCCCATCTCTCGTCTCTCTCACCCCTCAGATCCTTAGGTCACTCCCGCCGCAATTTCTCGCTTTTGACTCTCCTAAGTTCATGGAAAGCTCGCAAAACATGTCTGTCCTACTCTTCCCACCCCTGCTGAAAGAAAAAAAACCAAGGCTGTCTCAGTACAAGTAAGGTACGTACTTCTTGGTCACACTCCTCTTGTAGCTTCCATACTCCTCGCCAAAATGCTTGAGTAGTAGCTCCTCCTCGCGCTGGACCAGCTGCTCGTAGTAGAAGAGGCAGCCGGCGAGGATGAGCGCCATACTTCCGTAGGCTCGCAGCGCCAGGCAAAACGCCGAGAAGAGGAGAATGCTGCTGCCATAGATGGGATGCCTCACCCAGCGGTAAGGCCCGAACGGCACCACGATGTTTGGACTGTCCACCTTCTTGGAGAACTTGAGAAGGAAGTAAGTCCCGTAGTACTTGAGCGCCAGCGCCGCCAGCACCATCACCGCCGCCACCTTTGCCTGCCACCCGAGGTTCCAGCTCTCCACCAGCGGCGGCGACTCAAACGCCGCCAGCCAGTGCCCCGCCACCACCGATCCCGCGAACCCAATCCAAGTCGCGCGGCTCACCGGAAGAGCCCAGTCCTTGTCCTCTGGGCCTGTATCAGTCTTGCCATAGACTCTCATCCGGATCATCCTCTCAAACATGAAGAAGGCGCAGTAGACGCCATAGAAGATCGCCGGGAAGCCTTCGACGTAGCCTTGGAAGTGGCCGAGAGGGACGAGGATGAGCCATAGCAGCGCCCCCGCGATGATTATCAGCGCATCTCTGTCGCGAGCTCTTGTCCGGTACTTTCGATCGTCCCACCGAGTGTAGCGCTTGTGAGCCAGGAAGCACGCGCCAGCGCCGACGAGCAGCGCAGCCGGCCATGGCCAGAAGATGAGCGCCCAGCTCGCGTACATCCACAAGCTTGAGTTGAAAACCACCGCGCCAAGGAACCACTGCGCGGCCGTCCAGACCAGCGCCGCCAGCGTCGCGATCTTGACGGCCTTGAGCGGGGTGATCTTCTCCAGCTCGTCCGCGGCCTTCTCGAGCAGCGTCCGGTCGTCCACGGGATTGAACTGGTTGCTGAAAGGATACCTGGGATGGATGTAATCCTGCTCCTCCTGGACGTAGTATCCCTCCTCGTCGAGAGCCCTAGCCGGATCGAGCGGCCTCCTGCTGAGAAATCCGGAGAAATACCACGTTTTCTTCCAGCGGCAGCATCCGATCGTCGCAGGGCCGGGAGAAGAGCATCTTGCGGGCACAATGTGGGGCCTGGAACGCTGGAGACGGACGAGACAAGAGTAAGGCACTGCTGCCATCGCCATAGCCGAATAAGAACCCTAAACCCTATCCCATCATGGAATCCAACGGCCCAAATTCAAACTGCACGAATATGCTGGATCCAGCGGCTCACGTTTAAACATCTGAGCAATGAGCCGATCCAACGGCGGCCACGGCCCGCGCCTTGAGAGACTAGAACCATGTGCGAAAGAATGAATTTTCAAGTGGCTGCTTTTTCCTCACTGTCTCTGCTTTTCTTTTCGTCTTGCTTTTGCTACGGAGGGAACCCACTACCAAGCAAGTGCTCGCTTTTCATCCCCTTGTTTAGACGCATTGGTGAGAAATCGTCGCTTTGGCAGCACGACAAGATCCTACGAAAACCGAAAGGAAAAATCCAGAAGAGCTGAGCTGAAATGATACCTGGAGGAAGATCCGCTTGAGTTCCCGCAATGCGAAGTAGAGCTTCCTCGCTGGGCTGGCTGCTGACGCTCGCCATCGTCTCCTCCACCATCGCCGTCTTCCACTCGCCAAGATGTAAGTGAAAGCTCTCCAGCTTTTCGCGAGTTCTTTTCGTCTCTCGCTCTTCCCAAGCCTGTGAGTTTGCAATCACTGCTCCGTCGATGTTGCGAACTTTTCGCAAGTTCTTCTCGTCTCTCTACCTTCCCAAGCCTGTAAGTTTGTGACAACTGCTCCGTCGATGTTGCGAACTTTTCGCAAGTTCTTCTCGTCTCTCTACCTTCCCAAGCCTGTGAGTTTGTGACCACTGCTCCGTCAATGTGCGTCAGAAGGCTTCCATCTTCTCATTCCTGGGAAACCTCCATCTTCTCATTCCTGTGAAAGCTTCCATATTCTCATTCCATTCCTGTGCTTGGTCACCCGGTTTCCTCTTTCTGATACCGTCCTGCTCTTCCACCAGGTGCTCAGGCCGCCACCAGCGCCAACATTGGCATCAACTACGGCCAAGTCGCAAACAACCTCCCATCTCCGCAGCGAGTCGTGCAGCTCATCCGCTCCACCACCATCCGCAAAGTCAAGCTCTACGATGCCAATCCCCTCGTCCTCAGTGCCTTTGCCGGCAGTAGCGTCGAGTTCATCGTCACGGTCAAGAACGAGGACATCACCAGCCTCCTCGACTACCAAGTCGCGCTCAAATGGGCCAGCGAGAACGTCGCCCTCTACATGCAGTCCTCCCCCATCAAGATCATCTCCGTCGGCAACCAGGTGCTCACCGAGGCCAACGTCTCCTCCTCCGTCCACACGCAGCTCGTCACTGTCATGACCAACTTGCACACGGCCCTCGACGACCTCAAGCTCAGCCACCGGGTCTTCGTCTCCACTTCCCACTCCATGGCCATCCTCGGCAAGAGCTTCCCTCCTTCCGCTGGAGAGTTCAAGGACTCCATCACCAAGCCGGTCATGCTGCCGCTTCTCCGCTTCCTCAACCAGACCGGCGCCCCGTTCATGGTGAACATCTATCCTTACTTCTCCTACAAGGCCAAGCCGCTCGACATTTCCCTGGCGTACGCGCTATTCCTCACCAACAACGGCGTCACCGATTCAAAGTCGAAGCTCCACTACGACAATCTCTTCGATGCACAAGTCGACGCTGTCTACTCGGCCATGAGCAAGCTCGGCTTCACCAACATCCCTGTCCTCGTCTCCGAGACGGGCTGGCCGTCAAACGGCTCTCCCATCGAGCTGGCGGCCAGCGTCTCCAACGCGATGACTTACAACCGGAACCTCGTCAAGCACATACAATCGGGGGCCGGAACACCGATGCGACCAAAGCAGGAGCTTCAAGTCTTCATCTTCGCTCTCTTCAACGAGAACCAGAAGCCCGGCCCGACCTCGCAGAGAAACTTCGGACTCTTCAGGCCGGGTGATCTCTCCACCGTCTACGACATTGGAATTCTCCAGGGCCATTCCACATCTCCTTCCGGCAATCCTCCACCACCTTTGCAAATTCCCATCCAGCGGCCACCTCCATCACCATTTACCATTCCAATACCACGACCACCTTCACCAATGACGACTAGAAGACCGCCACCGCCACCAAGACCGCCTCCATCTCCATATAGACCAGTTTATCCACCGCCATCGCGCTCTCCTTCACCACCACCTCCACACATAACGAAACCACCACCATCGCCACCGCCTCTTCCCACTTGTCCTCCATCAAGACCAATGCCACCACCACCATCTTACTCCCCTCCTCCAGTCATCTCAAGACCTCCTCCACATCCTCCTGTGGTTCCATGGCCGCCCGTCTATCGTCCACCGCCTGTCTATCCTCCCTCACCATCCTATCCTCCAGTTTATCCTTCTCCAATGCTGCCACCTCCAACACCTGTTTACGTTCCATCACCCCGGCCTCCATACTACTATCCTCCGGTGAATCCTGCTCCGGTTGTCATGCTGCCACCACCTCCATCGGCTCCGACGACTCCATCTCCAGGCCAAGGCGGAGGAACTCACATCTGGTGCGTAGCAAAACCGGGAGGTGATACTGCGACGCTCATGTCGGCTCTCAACTACGCCTGTGGTGAAGGAGGAGCAGACTGCTCGGCAATTCAACCCGGTGGAAGCTGCTTCCAGCCAAATACCGTCGATGCCCATGCTTCGTATGCCTTTAACAGCTACTACCAGAAACACGGTCGGAATTACTGGAACTGCTACTTCGATGGGAATGCACTGGTCACAGTATCGGATCCAAGTAAGTTGAAAACAAAAAAGGAAGAGAAAATAAAAATTTTGCGCGACTTACCCCGTCGTTGTTGGTTTTGCAGGCTCTGGTTCGTGCATCTATCCGTCTCAGTAAAGTTTTCGCGGTGTGTAAATCGTGCAGTCTTTTGTATAATTGTGAGGCTCTACAAATCCAAAATGGTGAACCTGTTGTTGATGCTGAACTCGGAAATAAATTCGAGGGTTCGAGACTGGTCTTTGGCTTTTAATTCTCTCGCCACAAGTTTAGCATGGCGACTGGCTTGCATACCTACGGTTGCATCGGCGCAAGTACCAGGGCTCCTAGACTGCAAGCTCGAACCGTAAGTATCCCCATCGTATCCTCTATCGTCTGTGTGTTCACCCATTGCTTTCAATCCAGCAGCTCCAATCACCAGCAATTCAGAGTGTCGTATCACAAAAGACTGCAAAAACTCTTTGCCGGTCAGCAGCAACATCCAGTTCTGCAATCTCACCTAAGGATTCGTCCTCGAAAAGCGGTTGATTTATAGCTAGCTTGTTCTGACTCTTGCCATCTCCTTGTCTCTGTGTAGCAATTGAGTACATAGACTTGCATCATGTTGGGTTCCTTTGCAGCAATCTGGAAAAGTCGCTGGAATTCTACTGCGGTGTCTTAGGTGAGTGTTCAATTATTTCCCAGTATGTGCTCTGGAAAAAAAAAGAGTTTCAGGATTAGAGCTGAATCCAGAGAGACCCGAAAAGAAGTTACCGTATCGTGGAGCATGGTTGTGGGTTGGTCCTGGTATGATTCATCTCATGGAGCTTCCAAATCCGGATCCTTTAACTGGTCGACCGGAGCATGGTGGACGAGATCGTCACGCGTGCGTCACCATTAAAGACGTCTCTAAACTTCAGGCTGCGTTAGACAGCGCAGGTATCTCTTGAATTTCCCTGATTCCTGACATGATCTCTTTCTTGCTGTGACGGCAAGGCATTGTTTACACTGCAAGCAAATCCGGAAGACCTGCTCTTTTCACCCGTGATCCAGACGGCAACGCGCTTGAGTTCGCAGAGCCTATGTAAGCTTTTAAGTTAGATCGAAAGGGGAAAAGAAAAACGAAGATAACTTACTTTGCATATCCCACATTGTTTGTCACTCCGCGCTGTTAAAGAAAAAACCATCTAGCAGTTCCTGAAGAAGAGACTTCGGTTAGAACTTTCATTGCCGATCGTGGTTAGAGCTATGCCTGGAAATAGCAATCGCCTCCTCAAAAGCATCCATAAGCTGTGCGGCAAGACCAACCGGATCGTCAATCATGGACTGAATGTAGATGCTCACGACACGCCTTTGCTGATCACTGGCCTTCAGCCCCAGCCAAGTGAAGAAACGCATCCGGAACTCGGGTTTTATGTGGCCCTGGCACTCGAGCCACCGCACCATCTTCACACAGTGCTCGAATATCTTGTCCGTCCACCTCCACGCACTCTTATAGCTCGTGTTGTCCCTGTCCCCGGCGTGAACTATTTTCGCCGCCGCAGGCTCGTCAGCTTTTCGTTTCTTGGACGCTGAATCGTCGTCCGCATTCCTTGGTCCAGTTACGAAAGGATGCTCAACAGCCGACTTGGACTTGCACGTCTGCGAACTAGCGCTCGAGTTCTTTGCAGCTGTAGTCGAGCATGTCAAATTCGTCGTCTCTGTCTCTGAGTCTCTCCCCCTTGTCTCCAAGTCCAAGTCAGTACTTAAGTTCTTCGCTGTGGTGTTTGTAATTGAGTTCTTCGCCGTTGTCTCCAAGCCCAGGCTTGAATTCTTCGGAGTTGCCATCCTTACTGCTTCGGAAATCCTCATCAAGTTGTTAAATTGCAAGCTAACTGGTTGAACCCCTGAAGCAGCTTCCAAGCCTGTTGAAGGAACTACACTATCTTGCAGCGCCGTCGTCACGGTTTGAAGAGGCACGTCATCCTTCCGTTGCGCACTGTCTATTAAGTTCTCATGCTGTGCAGTATGCTTGACATCCATCGATGGCGAACTCGCCGGTTCTGCAACCGTCGATGGACAATTCAGCTCGGCGTCCACCACACCTGAATCTGATGATGGTGTCTCCAACTTAGAAGTTAAGTTCTTCGCTGTTGTGTTCGGTACATCAGAAATGGCACTTGAGTTCCTTGCTGTTGTTGAATTCTTTGGAGTTGCCATCCTTACTGCTTCGGAAATCTTCATCAAGTTGTGAAATTGCAACCTGACTGGTTGAACCCCTGGAGCAGCTTCCAAACCTGTAGTTGAAGGAACTTCTCGATATACACTATCTTCCGGTGCCGTCGTAGTCACTGTTTGAAAAGGCACATCGTCCTTCCGTTGCGCACAATCTATTAAGTTCTCCTGCTGTGCAGTATGCTTGACATTCATCGATGGCAAGCTCGCTGGTTCTGCAGCTGTCGAAGGACAATTGGCGTCCACCACACCTGAAGCTGATGATGTAGCACTAGCCTTCTCCTCGGAGCAGGCACTGATCCCAGTTTCCAATGCCGTCTGCGTTTCTGGAAGAAGAGTCTCAGGCTTGCAGCTTTCCATGCACTTGATCGAACAAGTTTCTTGGACATGGGCTTGGTCGTCCACCACTTCAGCCTTCGGGTTGAGCAGCACCGCTCCCTCTTTAGCTATCTGGCCCGAGCTCATGCCACAGTTCATTAAAGGATCGGCACAAGCTTCCTCTTTTTGTTTCGTGTAGCACCTGGACTCGCAAAACCCTTCGTCACCCTTGGCCGAAAAAGCTACGGCCTTGAACATGTAGCCTGTACCCGGCTTTAAGTCGGTTACCAGGGCCTTCTGCAAGACCGAAATGGTTGTCGTTGGCACAGAGCGGTATGTGCCCCGATTCTTTCTATGCCAGAGCTTGAAGCCCAGTATACTCTCCCCGGAACTTCCAGGCGTTTTCTGGATCACCGCGAGCAGCACAGAATTCATAGAGACCTCCATAAATTCGAACTGAAACACCGGAGGCTCTGCGAAAGAAAAGCGTCAATACTACCAAACACAAAAACTCTGTTACCTGGAAGCCGAGGCTTCACGTCGAAAACGTCCAAGGACTCGAGAGCTTGCCTTATGGAATCCAAAATCACAGTAGCTGACGAGAGGCGGCTCACAAGTCCTCTAGCCGAGAAAGGGCCGATATCTAGCAAGAGTTTGTCGAGAGCACTCTGGGCATTCTCACCACAATGTCTATACTTCTCACTTCCACTCACAAGCTTGGTAGCGATCGTCAGACGCTCGTAGAGAACATCCACGCGACGAGCTTCCTTGGCCCGTAAGAACTGCTTCTGCAAGGTCCTACAAGAGAACGAAGTTATAATCTTCTTCGTGGAGAACAGAGATCTCTGTGACGTACCCGAGCAGGCCAGTGATTGCTCCACAACTCAAGCACCGGTAGCTCGCGTCGACGATGGCATCGCTGCTGGATTTGAGGACGCACTGAATGTGGCAGCTCAAGGCGCAGGACGCGACGACAACGCCGTCGCCGTCGCCACACACGAACCACAAGCTGGGATCTTTGTTGTCGTCGTATTTCCTGCAAATCCAGCACGAGCACCTCTTGCAGAAGCCGCCGGCTTGGTGGAGGACCGCGCGGCACGAAGGATTCGCACAGCGCATCGTCGGCGCCGCGCTCGCACTGCGGGCGGGATTAGGGCTGCTGCAGCCAGTAGATTGCGCGCCTGCCGCTTCGAGCTTCTTCCTGCGCCTGGCCGGGAGAGGAAGAGAGGGAGAAATGCGAGGAGCTAGAGGAGGAGGAGGAGGAAGAGGAGGAGGAGGAGGAGGAGGAGGAGGAGGAGGGGGATGGGGAGAAGCGGAAGGAGGAGGAGCATTGAATCCACGAACGCAATCGATGAGCATTTCGTTGGTGTAGCCAATGAATCGCCTGTTGTCGCCAGTCTCGCTGTTGATGCGATTGATGAGCTGAGCGCGCGTGAGACCCTCGAGGGCCATCTTCAAACTAAAAACTAGGGTTCATCCACCACTTATAACTAGATTACATGTTTATAGTCACCTTTAGGCTGTGAGATCTTTGTACTTTTACTCAAATCCAATGCGAGTGAGCTTGTGGTGAGTTGTTGGTGTTGTTTATTATTTGCTAGCTTCTGTGGCGGCATTTTCAAAGGAAGTTCACTTCCGCGGGATACATTGGTTAGTCAACTTTTAACTGATTTTTATCATTTATCAAACGAAAAATTAAGATTTTTCTAAGCATACATGTGCTCATGACGTAAAATAGTTGATTATGTGCTCCAATTTGTAATATAAATAGGCTCCATGGCTCTTGCACAAGCACAGAAAGCGTACAACAAGGTTTGCAGAATTGAATCTCGTTTCCTTCCTTCTTGTTGCTGCAGTATGCATGCTATCTGAGAAAGCAGTGACCAATGCACAGCCAGAGGTAAAATTCTATATTGCTGCATATATATGTGACGATGTGCTTGATTTCAATGACCAGGTGTGCGATTATACGCTGACAATTACAACAGGAAAATGGGGAACTGACGGAACAGTGGATATATCGGTTTTCAACAACACATCTAGAATTGGTCCACAATTTCTAGATCTGGACAATCCGGGGGATGATTTCAAGGCTCATACCAATGATGAGTATCATCGACAGGGTTCATGCTTGAGAAATATCTGTGGTTTCAAGCTCACCCTTAGGGATTGTTGGCCAAGACAATGGGAGCCTCGTGGTGCATCTATTGTTTGCAAGAGCAATGGGGAAGAGATCTCAAGATATGCATGTAGCTTTGGCGGGTTTGGAGAATACCTGTCGACTGAGCTGATCGGACGAAAATCAGATAGTGTGTGGGTGAGTGACTGTGAACAAATGGCATGCAAGACAACGTAGAATCCCAAGTGAGACCAATGGTATATCATGAGCTCGAGTGAATAGAATGTTTGCAAGCTTAAACTATCACTGTTTGATAATAAAGTTCAGCATATGCACCTCACTTACCAGGGACTTGTGCATAATGCATTCGCCACTATGCATCTGTTCGAGGCTGTGAGGAGAAGCTCCTCTAGCGCCCGCATGAAGCTCCCTTCAAAAACCTCTGCCACTCTCAAGCGGATCTAGCCATGGCGTATTCTCAGCCGGAATCCTGGAAGACAACAATGCCATCTATCCACCTGAAAACCTTTATTGGAGTCTGGTTTAGACTTGAAAGCTAAGAGAGGAGAGGGAGTTTGATTGATCGATAGGGAACTGAATTTGTACGCTCATGTGCGAGGAGCCACGATACTGAAACTCCCAAGCTCCCTCCAACTCTAAATCTTCACTAAGTTTCAATCCATGATTGAATCAATCAACATGTACGATCACTGAATCTTCCAACGAGATCGAGAGGATTTTGTAACTCAGATTGTTTTCTTGTATCAGGGCGTACAATGCTATCCAAGTAAGCAATCAAGAACAGCACATGCACATGGAGCATAGCATGAAGCGAGGAAGACCGTATGTCTTCCTCGCATGAGGTATGAAGTCAAGCTTGTGGGCGGGCTAACTGCACTCCAGGTGAAGCTGCCGGGTGGTTGGTGCACGGGAATCGTCCAAAATTCAAGGCAATCTCGATCCAAGACACACAGCCACAGCAAGTGGAAGTGGGACAAACAAATTAGAGAGATGCAAAACAAAGGACGGAGTAACTAAAGGCAAAGGAGTTTGTTATATATTTACTTCAAAATTATATCAAGAGAATTAGTTTTCTAAAAGTTGTTATAATTGAAATGCTTTTTGAAAAACTTCTCTCACAATGTCAGAATTTGATAATGTAGGGCTTATGTATATCAATGGTAAATTAAAAGATATAGATATAGAGTGAGCTGAAAATTAATAAAAGGTACATTAGC